CTCACAAACCGTGACTAAGGAGAACATGTTTGCTTATTTAAAAAGTTTATGAAGTAGATTTATTCTGTACAAACCACAGGAAATGGAGGAGGAGAAAAATGTAAGGGCAACTTAGAAGAACCTGAGAAACTGAAATGAACTTAATGTCTTTTATTTGTTAATTGTTTGTTTGTTTGGAGAGAATTTACATAAAAAATGGTCAGCATGTGAAACAAAATAGAGAAAATCATATTGCTCTTGATATGCATTAACAGGGGTGGATTTAACCAATAAGTGAGGTAAGCGGTTGCTTAGGGCCCCAGGAAGTCTGGGGCCCCCAATAAATATCTAAAAGTATAAAATACACCTATAAACTATATATAACATCATTTACTATCGTATTTTGTATGGTATGAGTTACAGATATTTTGAAATACAGTTTTAACAATTAAATATGATTTAATATTCAGTCGAATATAATATTATTATAATAATGTAATATGTAATCATAAAAAATATTACAAAATAAAATGTCCATTATGAAGCAATTCAAATAATTTATTATATATATATATATATATATATATATATATATATATATATATATATATATATATATATATATATATATATATAATATTATTTTTAGTTGTAGTTCATTTTAAGAAAACAAATCATTTAAAATGTAGAGATTGCATTAATTTAAAATGTCAAAAAGAAGATTAAGTGATATAAAAAAAAGACAGAAATAAAAATGAAATAAAAGTAGGGTGCATTTCAGTACTTGGGCCCTATGGCTGTAATTGCTTAGGGCCCCAAAATCACAAAATCTGCCCCTGTGCATTAAGGATTGAACATTTATCTAAAATCAAATGTTATTAGTTGGTGAAGGTCTTATTTGTCAGATTTGTTTTGTCAATTTAATTTTAAAAATAGGATTATCTGTTAAGAGAAAATTTGCAGCCAAAATATTCAGTGGACATGAGGAAATAATGTTTAACGTTGATCTATAAGTATCTTTGTGGATATATAAAAAAACCTGAAATGTATGATGCATAAAAATCATAAAAAGCACAGTTGTTATGGTAAAATGAGAGGACAATATAAAAGTAAAGTGTCTTTTCATTTTAGGAAAATAATGGGATATACGCATATAGTGTTTGTCAGCCAATGATGAACCTCGGATGAAAGGTGTATGTAACTATTTTTAAATATTTCCTGAGGTTGCTTTTACAGCATCAATGTTGTAATGTACTGTAATTCAAATATAATCAGTTAAAAAGACTTAAGCATCTATTTGGTTGTTAAAGCGTAAAAAGAGACAAAAAAAAACAACAGTTTAAACACAGGTACTGCATTAGCTAGGCTAGCGCAAAAACTCCATTGAAAATTAAATTAAAAATAAAATTATTTTCCTTATGTTAAAGACATGGCGCAGAAAAATCTAATTTAATGCAGTGCTTCTTGTTTAGTCTGTTACCTACTTTATATTGTATGCCAGCCAATCAGTGAAGATTGCTGATTTTTAATGAAATCTGATTTTGTTTGGGATGACAATTATCCGGAAGCTCTGGGGTTGGCTGACTGAAATTAAAAGTATGTGTGCATATACCCCATTAAAAAATTCCAGTCAGAACACAAAGAAACATGCCACATACTATAACACGTTTACCTCTACAATTAACTTTATGGATTTGAGTTTTAAGTGACTTAGCATACAATTCTTAAAAGTTGTTGTTCTTCATAGTTAAAGTCTACAACAATATAAAATGTATTAATCATTCTGAATCAGTAGTTCATAAAATGGTATTTCTATTCTTTTTAGCTTTCATCACTTCTTGTGTGATATTTTCAAGCAGTTTAAATGTTTTTAAGTGCATTTGATGTGGTTGTTTTCTTAAGGCTATGAGGGTTATTATTTCAAGATTATGAGGGTTAGCGGATATCTTAATGACACTTAAAAGAAAACAGTATATCCGTAGAGTTATTACACTAAATCTGTTTATCAGAAAAATATTATTTTAGCACGTGACCATTTGAAAGAATAAAAATGGGGGTATTTAGTCTCTTTTTAGACAAATGTGTTGCATTTAGTTATAATATGTATTAAGTATTTAAAATATTCATTTTAAATTGTAATTGATTCTCTCAGATACCAAGTATGTGATGAAACTATTTTAATATTGGAGCTCATTCATTATAGTAGTCTGCTAATCATGCTGTCATTTCTAAACTGAAAACTAAAATAAAACACAGCATTTCTTACTCTTATGGTCCTCAGCAGCTTATAAACCACTCCTGACTCAATATTTTTCTCAATTTATTTCCATTCCGATTCCTTTAACTCCTAGACTATGTGTATTGAATATGTATGAAGACAGTTGTGCTTTGTCTACTAAAGAAAGAAAATTTGGTTGGTTTATGGGTCACACTTTACAATAAGGTTCATTAGTTAATGTTAATTAATGCATTTACTAACATGAACAAACAATGAACAACACATCTACTACTGTATTTGTTCATGTTAGTTAACGTTAGTTAATGAAAATACAGTAGTTCATTGTTAGTTCATGTTAACTCATGGTGCATTAACTAATGTTAACAACCATGGACTTGGATGTTAATAATGCATTAGTAAATGTTCAATTATGCTTAATAAATGCTGTACAAGTGTTGTTCATGATTAGTTCATGTTAGTAAATGCATTAACTAATGAACCTTATTGTAAAGCGAAAAACATATTAATTGCCCCTCCATTGGACTTAGGTTGTAAAACCTTACAATGTTTGGCTATTGAAAAGCTCACATATATAAGGAAAAATCCTCTGAATTTTGTGATCTGGCAGATGCCTTTGAACTTTGTGAAAAATTTAGATATTGAAGCAGCTTTGGAAGTCTGAAGTTGTGGAATGTGAATTGGTGTTTGATGAGATTTTTTACTTATTTATTTATTTTATTATTAATATTTTTAATAATAATTGTTATTTAATTTGTATTTTTCCCTAAACCTGTCTGGGGTACGTTTTGGCTATTGGGGTTTGATTTATTGTAAAACCTTGGGGAAAAAAACTTAATAAAGACATGTTGTACACATAAACTCCACTCCTGTCAATGTGTGTATAATCTGTCCTGCATTGTTCTTCAAACTATTTGGTTGGATATAAACAAATAAATTACAAATTGAAAACAACTACAAATGATTGTCTATTTACTTTTATCTAATGCTAAAACCTTCTTTGTTTAGCCTTCTGTTCTTGCACACTAGCAGTGCACTATAAGTATCTTTAAATAAAATGAACTCAAGAATAATAACACTGTTCAAAAAAGGCATCAACAGTCATTTCTGGTCCTGTCAGAAATGTGTTACACGCGGCTGATGAACAGCCACACCCAACCAAGCTGGATTTAATTAAATTGACACTGCTGTGCCTTTACTCTCCATCAGGCGCACAGTTGCTGAGTGACGGACTGTAGGAGCTAATGGCCCTCGGCATGGAACTAAATTAAGTGCTACAAAGTATTTATTGGGGCCAGTTATGTGGACCTCGCGCTTGATCAAGCACCTTTTCTTGTTGCCAAGGTAATCAGGCTTTGTATATAGAACAATTTCGAGAAAGAAAAGCTCTTGAGTGCTTTTATAAAGAACAAAGAAAAAAAAACAAGTAAACAAAAAATCTGCACCATCGAGCAAGGAAATATGAATGAGCTTTATACACTGTAAAACATGCAGGGTTCCACACAATCGATTTGTGTAGGGACAACATGAAGGAATGAATTTAACTCATTTGTTTTTATTAATTTAAGTGGACTGAACATAAAACAATTATGTTGTCCCTAAGAAAACGAAGAATAGTGTTGTTTTAGCTCTTTTAAAATAAGCAAATTGAGCAACCAGCAAACATAGTTGTATGAGTCCAAAATCAAACAAAAAGTGCTCTAGGGATATTTAATGTGTTGGTGCGCTTTAAATAAGGGATTCATAAAGATAAACAACAAAATCAAAAGTCCAAGGCACTCAAGTGAAAAAAAAAGCCTTTATTAACATGGCTATTCTTAAAAAAAGATTTTGTTGTTTAAAGTTTTTAAGTGTATAACTATTAAGGCCATTAAAAATTTTTTTATTAATATTTGAGCTACAGTGATACACTGAAACAAATGATGTCTGCAAAATTGTTGCAAACAATTTATATGTGTTGAATTCAAACAAACAAATTAAATTGAGTAATGTTCAACTTAATTTGTTATTTAAATCCAATGCAAATACATGGTTTACAACTACTTAACTTAAGAAAATTTGTAAATCTAAGGAATCATCTCTGAATAATTTATTTTCAGTAGGCATGTTATGACAACCTTGGATAAAAACTTACGGTATGGTATTGTGATTACTGCTTTAAAATAAGTTATATAAAAAAGTACGTTTATCCCATTGAACACAGTACATTTTAATTTAGGAAACATGTAAAATATTTTGGAACAGCAGATCAGGCTAAATAATTCCAATAAATCACTGACTTCTGCTGTCTTCATTCTTCATTAGTTTCAAACACAGATTTCTTTACAATATGTGTGTGTGTGTGTGTGTGTGTGTGTGTGTGTGTGTGTGTGTGTGTGTGCGTGTGTGTGTGCTTGTATGTGTGTAAAAAATGTACATATACCTTATGAACATAGCAGATTATTTTAGCGGTTTAAAAATGTGACTTTTCCAAACCACGGTAAACCTTGAAAATGGTTGTCATCCCATGTGAATGGCATACTCTAAAAAAGCTAGAGGTCTTTAGAGGTTATTGACATAGCATTTCTGTTTAGAACTGTTCGAAATGTCATGATGAACCTTTTATTTGCTCTATTGTTTATTAACTTTTCAAATCTGTACTTGTCAAAGTACCTCATTATTCATTTTTTATAGCTCAGTCATCCAAGCACACCCTGCCAACACTGTCAACAAGTCCTTTTATATTGTTATATATACATTTTAAATCTCAATCATGTCTTTTTAAATTATGTTTTTACCTTAATAGAACATAAGATGACCAGCTGTTAATTTGGGGATGCATAACTCATTCCACTTCTCCACGGGGTAAGTAACAGATATATTGAAGTTATGATTATGCATAAACACACAGTCACCAAAGATATGAATGCTATTCCATGACTTTTTAGCTCTTTATCTTTTAGGGTGACATTTTGTCCACTTTTGGCATTGATAATCCCGGCTGTTTGTACACAAACAAATGAAAGAGACTACTGTGACTGTATATGCCTATATTGTGTTTTATTACAGATGCTGTCGTATCCTACTGTACAATCTTATGGGAAAATGTCACTCAGTAACACCATAATAAACGCACCTAAAGGCATCGCAGAGAATGGAGAAGATATTTTACTGGAACTTTGTCTTCATACATTTTGTTTTACCTTTTATGCATTTATTTTGTTAATTTTTGACTAATTTATTAATTTATTCAGCTTTAACTGCTATTTGAGCACTGTGTTTTTGCTACAAGTTCACATAAAAACTAAAAGTGGCAAAGCCTATGCTGTTGTAGGGGATTTTCATGTGTTTATGTGCTTGTTAGGTCTAAAGCCAAGATTTAAGACAAATAAATAAACAAACAATAAAAAAATAAATAAACAACAAATAACATCAATAATACTAATTTTAATCTAGATTTGTTTGCCAAATACCGGGGCAGCTTCATTTCTTAACAGGACATAATGCTTAGATAGAACCTGTCTGTGTTTTCTTATTTAATTTTATTTAATGGTTTATTTGTGGCACTACGGGTGGAGGTTTAAACACAATAAAGATAATGTTTAAAAATTCCAATTCTAATTAATTAAAGGATGATGTTAACTGAAAATGAACGTATTAAACTAATTCATATTAAAAAAAATTTAAAAACTATATGGTCCTATAGCTTTGTTCTTTCTTTAATTATTTTGTTCTTTATTTAACCTTATATTTAAGAAGGGCTCTGCTTGTTACAAGCCTAAAAGCTAATTTGATACTCTTTAGAAATATGAACATTATAAACAAATTGCTAATGTTGGACATTTTTTTGTAACATTTTAACAGTACAAAAAGATATATATATATATATATATATATATATATATATATATATATATATATATATATATATATATATATATATATATATATATATATATATATATACATACATATATACATACACATGCCAGGGGGTAAGCATAAATCAAATAAAAAATATACATATGTAAAAATCAAATAAATACATTGTAGAGTTCACAAAGTTTTAACGTGCGAAGGGCTTTCTTATTTAGAGAGTCTCTGATACTACTAATATATAAGCATAATTCCGTCTTGTTAATGTTGGACATAATGATTGGCTTTTTACATCCGCGTTTTCAAACCCCGCGTAACGACGTTTCTGAGGTCAGTGTCACTGATTGGACAAACGCTGTACGCTTTAATGTAACGTTGTGCAGCTTTATGTCATCTAACTCACTTTTTGGACAACAAAGGTAGGAATTCAGTCTCTTGTTCACACAAATAATTGCCAACCAACGATAATACCACCATTAACTAAAACAGACCGTCTCTAAAATTTCGCGTTGTTTCCTTGACAGTGTACACATCGACTGTCGGTTGCCAAGATTCTAAATGCAAACATTCAAGTACCACGTTTGCCTTCGTTAACAGCTCAAGTCCTGCTAGCCAAGCTCTGGAGATTAATTTACCAAATTAACAATCAAACAGTGGCACCTGCTTCAAAATTACAATTAAATTGTGAAATGTTGCTTTACACGAGGTTAAAAAGCCGCGCTTTGAATGAAGATAATCCGGGGATAGGCGCTGTGTTAAAGGCTCTTTAGCTTAGTGAAAATCCGAGTTTCATAAATTTCTGAGAACTAACTTGCATAAATCCGTATTGAACAGTTGGTGGGCATAGTCAACATTGCCCCAGCTATTGTATTTCCAACAATTAAATCAGTGCAACCTTATTTTCTTGTACTCCAAGTCAATTATATAGAGTGTTAACTGAACACCCTAAATGCAACCCCCCTCACAAACTTAACATATTGTCAAAGGCTAAAATATTACAAGATGATCTGGTATATTGCTATTTATAAAATGACAAACAAATCTTACTTGGTTTGTAAACAGACAGAGCTCATGAGAAATGTGTAAAGCAACAAATGTTGTACAGAGAGTTAGCTGATTTATTAATCAACACAACCCCTAACCGCAGATGTCAGCAACATCATCACTGCCATATTTCTATACCCTCAAACACCCACACAAACCATATGCCTTGTGTAGACATGATGGGTTATCAAATCGAAATGAAATATCTTGATCTAACAGCAGCACAGACAAGCATTTTTGTCTCATAACTTTCAAGGGCCGACTAGATATGATCTCATTTACTCATAAAATGTAAACCTGGATTTATTTTCTTTGGGCAGGGTCCAAACTCCCACTGTGTATGTTCTTCTTTGAGTTTCTCCAGGAATGTTCCAGAACTCTGCACTCCTCAGTCACTGCGGCTAACAGAGAAACACGAGTTCTGTGTGAAACTCGGGCCGAGTTTACTCACTGCTGCCTATAGAACTTTGCTGTACAAAAAAACAAAGCACTTAATAAGGCACACAACACTGACTGTTTAAAAAGTTCAGAATGAACCAAATAATTGCGAATAAATACACATTTTGTTCCTGTAGTTGTCAAACAAAAGTGCACTGCATTTAAATTACTGAGAGCTAAATATACTTGGTGTGTGTAAACACCAATTTTAAGCTTTATCGGCACCAAACACATGCAAAGTAAATTTTTAATTTTCAGCAAATCTGCAGACTAAGCACAGTGAAAACAAGACGATTTATTTATTTGTCCTGGCTCCACATTAGCAGTTGAACGCTATTTGTTTTAGTTGGTCAAAGAGCAGTCTGTGGCATTGAACCGAGACAAGTATGTTACCTACATTCCTTCATGAATGTAACCCTAGCAAAATTGCCCGCCTCACTTTAGGAGTCAATGAGTCACCCAAATTATTCATTCTGCCTCTGTTCAGCATCTCGCCAATTAATTTAGATGACTGTTTTGACATGTCACTGTAAATCTGTGAAACCACAGGTTGTATTAAATTGTCAAACCCAAATATACTTTGGGTACATTAAGGGCTAAGTGGCAGAAAATGATATGGAAATGGGTTATGCTCTCTTTAGTTCTAAAGGATGCAGTTCGTGCCAGATTTGATAGTGTTTGATAACTCAGCATTTATGACTTGGAACCCCCTAATTTTCTATCCAGTAAATGACTTCAGTTCACCTTGTAACAAAAGTTACTGCTTCTTTTCTAAGGTTTTTAATGTCTGGAGATTTAGTTTTTTATTTTTATGGCACAAAATGTAACTTAAATAAAAGAGTCTCTTGTTAAGCTTCACAAAACATTACATTGGACTGTGAAATAAAATATATCATTTAATTATAAACAAATGCTAAATTGTTAAAATATAGCGAATTATTACAGTGACCGAGAGAGCTTAACGGCCTGCAATTTAAGAAAACACATGCAACATGCAAACATTTTACAAAAATGCACTGCATTTTCTCACAATGTAAACATTTGATAAAACCTGCTGCATTTTCTCACAACGCAAACAATTGATTAAACGCGCAGCATTTTCTCATAATGCAAGTGATTAATAAAACGCTGCATTTTCTTACAACGCAAACAATTGATTAAACGCGCTGCATTTTCTCATAACGCAAGTGATTAATAAAATGCTGCGTTTTCTCACAACGCAAACAATTGGTTTATTGTGCTGCATTTTCTCACAACGCAAACATTTTACAAAAACGCACTGCATTTTCTTACAACGCAAAAAAAATGTTAAAACACTGCATTTTCTCACAACGCAAACATTTTACAAAAAAACACTGCATTTTTTCACATCGCGAAAATTTGATAAAACGTGTTGCATTTTCTCACAACGCAAAAAATTTAGAAAACGCTGCATTTTTTTACATTGCGAACAATTGATAAATTGTGCTGCTTTTTTCACAACAGAAACGATTGATAAAATGTGCTGCATTTTCTCACAACGCAAACATTTTACAAAAACACTTTGCATTTTCTCACAACGCAAACAATTGATAAAATGCTGCATTTTCTCACAATGCAAACATTTTAGTCTCTTGTTAAGCTTCACAAAACATTACATTGGACTGTGAAATAAAATGTATCATTTAATTATAAACAAATGCTAAATTGTTAATATATAGCAAATTATTACAGTGACCGAGAGAGCTTGAAGGCCTGCAATTTAAAAAAACACATGCAACATGCAAACATCGCAAACATTTTACAAAAACGCACTGCATTTTCTCACAACGCAAACAATTGATAAAACCTGCTGCATTTTCTCACAACGCAAAGAATTGATTAAACGCGCTGCATTTTCTCACAACACAAATGATAAATAAAACGCTGCATTTTCTTACAACAAAAACAGTTGATTTAACGTGCTGCATTTTCTCACAACGCAAACATTTTACAAAAATGCACTGCATTTTCTCACAACGCAAAAAATTGATAAAACACTGCATTTTCTCACAACGCAAACAATTGATAAAACGCTGCATTTTCTCACAATGCAAACATTTTACAAAAACACACTGCATTTTCTCACATCGCGAACAATTGATAAAACATGCTGCGTTTTTCACAACGTAAACGATTGATAAAATGTGCTGCATTTTCTCACAACCCAAAAAATTGATAAAACACGCTGTGAAATGTACAAATAAAATGTATCATTTGATTATAAACAAATGCTAAATTGTTAAAATATAGCAAATTATTACAGTGACCGAGAGAGCTTAACGGCCTGCAATTTAAGAAAACACATACAACATGCAAACATTGCAAACATTTTACAAAAACGCCCTGGATTTTCCCACATCGCAAACAATTAATAAAACGCTGCATTTTCTCACAATGCAAACAATTGATAAAATGCTCTGCATTTTCTCATAATGCAAACATTTTACAAAAATGCAATGCATTTTTCTACAACACAACGGAAATGTTTCAAGGAGATTGTAAAACGTGACGAAAGCAGCTATTTAGGTTATGGTCATTAAGGCTAATAAATACTAAAGACATAGGAATCGGGATATTTAAAATAAACAAAGTATACACTGTAAAATGTAATTAGTTGACCTTACTTAAAAAAAGTATGCAAACTCGTTGCCTCAAAAAAATTAAGCAAAGTAAACTTAAGATTAGTGAGTTAGAAAAGCTTGTTTTTTTTAAGTGTGCAGTACTATATCAAGTAGTACCACTAACACGTTTTTTTTATGTTCATGTAACTTAATAGCCATGCTTAGTGTTAACTTAATTTTTTCATTTTGTGTTGATTGCTTGATATAAATTTAACCCCACTTAGAATTACTAAATACCTACAACTTAACACTATCAGTTCTGCTCACTCATTTTTTTAAATTCACTTAAATTAAAGAAACCAATTTCCTTTAATGGGTCCTTCTTGGACCCAAACCTGGGCAGCTGCAAAATGTGGCCTTTTCTCTTCCCCATTTATCTATTTTTGCTGTCCTTAGTGATAAAGGCAAACACAACACAAACATATAATTTAAAAGAACACTCACGGGTTTGATTCAGCTCCATTACAAAATTTATTCAATGCACATTCAAGTACAAAACAGCAGCTAAACAACAAAGTTGTGGTTTGATTTAACTGTATAAAATGACATGGAAAAATATATAAAAAAATAAAATAAAAACATTTCTGTGAGCTAATTGTATGCATGTCTCCCAATATTAAACAGGTAACTACAGGACGACTT